ACCTATAATGTTGAAATTGATAACTTTTTGTGAGAGCATTTCTTGGACTTGGAATGTGAATATGAGTTGTAGGAAATGTCTTCCCCTTCAAGATGAGAATTGGATGGGATTTTTCTGATGAACCATGAAAAAGTTATGCCTTGGTCAAGTTACAGTTGACTTTTCAGCTGTCCAAAAATGGAAACTTTTGCATCTTGATGATTTTTGAGCCATTCTTGTGGAATCATGATAAAGACTTGATAAAATGATGATTGTGGCTTCAAAATAACATGTTGACTAAAAATTTTGACTTTTGACTGCCAAATGACCATTTTACCCCTACAGTTGAATTTGGAGCAACTAGGACCTTTGATTGTGCAACTTGACCTTGTGAGCCTTGAAACTTGACATGTAGGTGATTGACAATGTATATGAGCATATGGGACTTGATTGAGCCCTTGAAAACCTCAACTTTCTTTGCAAGAACCAAAACCCTAGTTTGACTGGCTTAGGAGAGTGGTTGACTGTGTAGCCCTTGAGAAGACTTGAGCAAATTGAGATGATGCTTGTCAAAACTTTGAAGAATATGGGAGGGAAAATTTTGGGGTACAACAGTTGGTAATAAAGCGCATCATTCTACCGCAAAGTGATCTCAGGAGTAAGTGGACTCCCACCTACGAAGGGCCATTTGTTGTCAAGAAAGTATTTTTTGGCGGTGTTATGATACTAACCACCATGGACGGTGAAGATTTCCTGCAGCTTGTGAACGTGGACATAGTTAAAAGATACTACGCATGAAAATGACCGCTAGGTTGACAGGACTAGGCAAAAATAAGGGCATCCCAGCGAACCAAAAGGGTTCGGGCAAAAATTAGGGATATATATAAAATATTGTACACCCGACAAGTCGAAAACCTGAAAAGGCGGCTTGAGCAAAAAAGGGTATCCTGGTGGACTGAAAACCCGAAAGGACGGTCCAGGAAAAAGTTAGGGATTAAAGCGTACGACTACGTCCCATTGGATCACTTACAACAAGCTTTGTTACCAAAGTCATAACTTCTAATGGCACAAATCAGTTTAATCGACTTCTTCTGACAACAAAGGATGAGATGTTCGAAGATATAAGGGCAATAGCGAAGTTGGAACCCAACGAGATCATTTCCATATAGCTATATGTTTTATTTTCACTTTTTACTCTTTTTATTTCATGACAATTTCCTCTTACTAAGATTTATGTCTCTTTGTACAAAATCGCCTGTTTATGGGCAAATTACCAATACAAATACATCCTAAAATTCAAACTTTTTGTTTTTCTGTTTTGTTTGCCAAAACGTTCAATGACTAAAATTGAATGAACATGTGCATATGAACACGATTAACTTTAATAAATATATGCATAGGAACAGGAATAAGCATTTACTCAAGACTCTAGGAGTTGGGATAAAGCCGTCAACAGATCCCCACAGAACCACTTCCATGAGATTATTCCCACAGAGTAATCTTGACAAATTTATCTTCAATGAAGATACATTCTCCATAATTTCCCCGGCAGATCTTTTTCCTGGCAATATCACCCACCTACGGAGTTCCAATCAGTACAGTTCATGGACGCATTTTTAACTAGGACAATTTTGGATAACAATTCATGTATTTTATTTTAGAAATTAAGTATGCATGGTTCAAGCCTCAGATCGTGTTCACGGTGGCTTCTTTTTCTCGTGGGATTGTCTTCTTCTCAAGGAATGCCTTGCAGTTAAGGGTGGCAAAGCAACTGGCCCACCTTGTTTAAACCCGCCATGTTTTAACTCGTCCAAAATTGGGGCAGAGCGGGCTAACCCGGGCTTCCAGGCTCGAAAGTCAAACTCAATCCGTTTACTAACAAGTTGGCAGGTCGTTCCGACAAAAAAAAATTACAATTTGATTTACTACATAATTTACAAAAATTTATTCTTTACCAAAGAGGCCAGCAAAATATATTTTCTTAACAATGCATATTAGGACTTCAAGAAATCTTAATTTCAATGTCATATTATTTAACATAAACAAAACAACATAACTATAACACCAAAAACTAAAAACAAACACACTAAAACTCATAAATAATCTACTTGATTCAACCACGTCATGGCAGTAACACCACAATACTAAAAAAACCAACAAGCACAACCTAATTAAGGACATTTAGAGACACAAATTAGCAAAACAAATTAGAACAAGTTAAATAAAAAAATATATCAAAATAAATAACAAAAATAAAACCACGCATCAAACAAGTAAAACAACAAAATTGAAAAAGCAGACAACATTTTTGATTGAGCTAGCACATTGACATGATTGAAATGAACTTCCAATCAAGAACATGAATAAAAGAATGAGTCAAAAATAGAAAGGAAAAATAACAAAATATGAGTCGGAAATATAAAGAAAAAATAACAAAAGGGCGATCTATATTAATGGGTGCTAGCTTATAATTTTAAAAAGATAATATTTTTGTACACAAATAAATTCTATTTACACGGGCTATGTTAATATTTTAGAACACATTATTTTTGTCAAAAAACATCATCCATTGATAGATATGCAACAAATTGATGTTAGTAAAACGTCAATATTGATAGATGAATTTTTTTCATCTATAGCAAAAAGAAAAACCCTATGCAATTCCTAAAATGCCCCTTAGAAATCATAAATATATTTCTGGTGCGCACCATGTACCACACACAAACAGATAAAATATGATTCCACCTTATTCAAAAGACAAAAATGGAATCGAAATTATAGTTCTGGTTGCAATCGGTATTGTATTTCCGATTTGTATAGAGGAAAGATTGAATTTCCTGTCACCTTGTCATTTTATATATTACGGGAAATATACTTTCGGTGTTATGAAAAATGCATATTACTTAAAACATTAACCAACATGGACAGGGAAGATTAAATTTTTTGTCGCCTTATCATTTGATGTATGTTTCAATATTTAATGCATTACCTATGTTATGATATGAACTGTATTTTGAATTTGCGAAATTGGTATTATTCAATGTTGTTTTTCCTGCTTTCTGTGTAGCATAAAAACGCAAATGTAAGTCCGAGTACAAATCGGAAATTAAATTTCGATTTCAGCCTACATTTTATCAAATCTTGGTGCATCCCAGAAATGTATTTTCAATTTTCTGGGACATTTTTGTAACTTCACGTAGTGCACTAGAAAACTATAGGGTAGAAAAAGAAATCCTAAAAAATAATGGATTGGACTCCTCAATTTACTGTCCAATTTTTATTCTAGGATTACTTTATTCACCCCATGGAATGAGGTTGAACACACTGAAAAACTGCTATTGTCCTTTCTATATTCTAGAGATGCATTTATGAATGCACCCAATACATACAAAAAGGTGTTACAAGTGAGACACACCCCCTTATACCAAAAAACTAATTCGAAGATGCATCTTTAGAATAATCTAGAGGTACGTCATGAGATACATCTCCGAAATTTAAAGATATTTATGATTTTTTGCCGTGGTGAACTAGCACGCTATGCCATATACAAAGTAGTTCCATTTTGTTCTAAGTAAAAAAAATTAACAAAAACTTGTTGGGTAAACTCTCCCCACCGTGTTTTATAAGCGGGTTAGGTGGATATGCCAAGTTAAAGCACCAAACTGAAAATATCCGCCTGACACGCCAAAAATAGTGGCTCAAACAGGTCAGTCCGACGGAACCTACCCATTTTACCACCCTTGCAATACACGAGGCATAAAAGAAATTCAAGAGTCAGGTATACTCAATAGTTGAATTTTTTTTTATATTTTGATTATTTATATTTGTTTGTATTTTGTGAATAATATATATTTTGCATTTTGATTTAATATATATCTTATTTTAATTGAATTACATACGTGTGTGGTTTGATTGTATTATATAAAATTTATTAAAATATATCTAACTTATAACAAAAGTATTGCTCAAAAAGAGAAACTTACTGCCCTGAAGATTAATACAGAAATTAATTTTTATAATATTCGTTGAATTGTAAAATAAATACATTATCATAGTTCAAAATGTATCATATACATTAGTCCATAATTTAACCTACGGATTCACCCTTCTATCAATATAAATGTGAACTCCACATATTAGTTTTTTACAAAATAAGAGTGACTTATTTACAAAATGTTTTAGTATATATAGAATATAAGGGCATTTCGGAGATTAACTTTTATAGTATTCCAATGAGATTTTCGGATTATTAAGAGTGACTTAGTGGAAAGAACAATCCTAAAAAATTTATGTTTTATCTCACAAATCCAAAAATTTAAATCTCGCATCCGAGAGATTTTACAAATTTGTGCAAAATTATGAGTTTATAAAAAAATTGATACAAACTATAAGTTCAATAATAAAATACTTTTGTGAAATTGTATGTAAATATATATTGTCTAATTATCTTTTCCTTTTCTTTTTCGTTTTAAGTAGATGTGCTTCCTCATGTATGAAGATTCGTTCTTCTTTTTATCCTAGAACAAACTTAACTCCCGTTTTATTATCGAATAATACTAATACAAATAGGTGAAAAATAAAAAATAAAAATGGTGACTTACCCAGAAACTCGCTTGTCTCCAAACAAATTTAACCACAACAAAAATTAATAGAAATAAGGTTCTTAATATTACTGAAAAGACCCAAAGTCTTTTGGAATTGACAATAAGAACTTTGAATAACATGGATTATAATCTTGAAATCGCTATAGAATATAACTTGTCTCTGATACAGCAGCCAAACTCAGTTTGAGTTTTGGTAGAAAAGAAAGCTGCATCAACACTGAATAACAATCAGTTTGGTAGTTTGCTGAGGGTTTCGAAAATGACATTTTAGTCATTAAAAAAGATCAACATCATATAAACAAATCAGATCCAGAGGTGTGTGTAACCCATCCATGCAAGCAAATGTAATATTTAAGTAATAAAATCAATGGGATAAGAACCATGAGTAATATTTCTAACATGAGTATGGATGACCTATCAAAATTGTCTACATACAAACAATCTCAGTTTTGAATTTAGAAATGATATATGAGCAGGAGCTGTAGTCGTGTGGAAGTGACCGTTAGGGGTTTGATTTGATGCTTTGCTTGTCTCCCAAGGCATAATGAATTCTGTCACAACAAATTGATGGATACAAGAAATATGAATCATATGGTAACATAAGCAAAAAACTATGTTCCATGGATGACATGGTATCAGTGTATATTGTAGCTTGAGACGGTTCAATTCTGAATAACATGAAGTCGGCCGAACTGTGAAACGAACTCCGCAGCATATGGTCAGCATAGATCATAAGTCCAACAAATACGGAAGAGAATGGCCATGTACATTATATCAAGCCTACTATAGGGATAAAAAATTTAATAAGAAACTCGCTTTATTCTGTTACTTTTTGATGTGTATTTCTCTTCTCGTCCATCCTATGATGGAATAACTTGGCCATGTGTCTCCTTTCACAGTCCTGTGTCAAAAGACAAGAAAAAATCATGACTCAAAGAGGACTGACAAAAAGAACGTAGACAAAAGTACATACATATTACCCACAAGCGAGGTCCTCACATCGGTAGGAGATTTGAATTCAAGTCCTTGTGGGATATGAATTGAATCTTTACCAAATAAATAACCTATGTTGGCACATAACAAGTACTTTCATCCCTATCCCTACAATCCTACAGTATAATCTAATATAGGGGAAAAGAACCATATATATATATATATGAAGCTGTGTATAAGTTTCTTCACCTTGAACATATTAAGATGAAAAGGTTTATCAGGATTCATCCTTCTCAGCTTCTGATAAGTATATGCAAAACTTAGCTGATCACGAGGAGTAAATCGCTCAACTTCATTGAACCAAAGACAGTTGAACAAATTTGACATAGGGGTGTGAGCCCTAATAATAAAAGAACCTTCTGGAACATCTGTCAAAAGAAAAAAAAACACATATATTATCCAACAAGTTCAAAGAATTGACACAAAAAGAAATTGTTAAAAGAACATACTGCTTGGAAGAAGCTTATTTGGATCTGATGCATTGAATCTTCGGAGTCCGTCAGCACGGTAAAATGCAAACTGTTGATCTATAACCGTATGATTATACTTGTTCAATTTCTTGTTTTGTGCTACCTCTTCCCACATACAATGCCGGTCATAGTGATTGGATATTGCAAATTCATAACCCTTTCGCCACAAGAAGTACTCCAAGATGAGTAAAGGATCAAGCTGCAGCCTTAATTTGCTATCCAACCAAATTGAATACCTGAAACAAATTTCAAAGAAATACATAAGCATAAAAACCAGTTATCCATATTATTATAACACTCTTGGGATCCTATTTTACCTTCCTCTTTCAGACACTAATGGTTTGGTCTATTGTATAATAAAAGAATCTCAACAAACTAAAAGAATTTTTCACCATTTTATCTGCAAGTGACGCATCTGTTAAGAAATGTGGTTGGATCTAACTCATCCCTAGAAACAAGCTTGTAGGGTGAGGATTGTGCCCCTTATAAACACAAGTTCGGGCCATATATTACCCGACATGAAACTCTCAACACACTGCGCAACAAATCTTACACCCGACTTCAATACCAACTTGAATCTGAATTTCTTGTTTATTAGAGAGAATACATATATACTAGTATAGGTCTAAACCTGCTAATCACCCCACTAATTAGGGGGGAGATGAACTAAGAAATGAAATACTAAATACAATAATATCCTAATTGATACTGCTAATAAAAGCAACAGATACTAATAATAAAACAATATCTCAACAGCATCATTAACATATTTTTCTTAGTAAATTCGGACTCACCTTGCAAATGGAAAAAGTCGATGGGCCAATAACTTTGGTATTTTGCCCACTCGCCGCATATCATCATAAGGTAGATTCTTCACTATCACTAACTTCCAAAAGCCAATGAAACCCATTCTGTCAGGCGCATGACCTTCAGAAGAAAGTGTCTTTACTGTAACTTCGTCAGTGAACATAACAAAGCAGACATTCTTCCTTGACAAACGAGTGATCTGAAATCAAAATGAAAAAGATTAATGTAATAAAACACACTAATAGGAATGGAATCGATTGTTGTTAGTTGGTAGAGTTATCAATCTCGGATAGCGGTGCGGAGCAGCCGACCCCAAAACTGGGATAGGGGATAGCGGAATGATCGCTATTTGATTATTTTTTAGACAAATTACATGAATAATATTAATAACTATAAACATATATTTAATGTAAAATTAAACAAATAACTCAATACCCATAACAAAGCAAAGGCTTAGTCAAAAACTCTTAATCAATTCAACAACAATTCTTAATAAAAAGACATTGGTGAGGAATATTGAATTAAGAAAGAAAACAGAAATATGGTATAAATAAAAAAATAGAGGAAGAAGAAAAGAAACTTTACCGTGAGGGGTAGAGGAAGAAGAAGATTAAAAGAAGAAAAGAATAGATAAAGAAGAAAAGAACTACTGCTACCAACCAACCTGAAGAAAAGACGGAGATGCTGGGAGGGAGGAAACACAAAAAGCGGTGGCACTAACACAAGAGAAAGATGAAGCACAGAAGACGAAGCAAACATGAGAGAAAGGGAAGTGAATGCAAGAGAGGGAAGCGAACGCTAGAGAGGGGAAGATTGGATATAAGGACTTAAAGTGCAAATTGGCAAAAATACCTTCGAAAGGTATTATTTTTTTAAAGGTATTTTGGGGTTTTCATCGTTTAAAACAGAAAGTGGGTTTTAACCCGCTCCGGGCCGGGAAGCTGCTCCGTTTCTGCGACCCAAGAATGACCCAAAAGCGGCTGCAGCTCCTAACTGTGCCTATGGGCAATTTCGTAGCGGCTGGTCTCCATGCCGGTCCGCTCTCCCGGATAACACCGCTATCGACCGGGATTGACAACTGTGAGTTGGCCACAAACATGCATCTTGTCATTGTGATTTTAATAGTTGCAACTTACTTTCAAAGCTATAACATTCAATGCTAACAAAAAATTCGATTTCAAGAAAGGTAAGTATTGCAAATAGCTTATGCGATAATTCATAAGAAAATATATAAGCTTTCAAACATGCCAAAATGAAAACAATTGATATCAATCGCCAGAGAGACTTAGGAACAAAATTAAAATGAAATTCACGGGTGATTTAGATTAGAATAACTTAATGTAGCACAAAATAAATTGCACCATCATTTTCTCTTGAATGGAAATCAAAATACAATATTTATTGAAAGATTAACCATTACCGTCTTGGTGGCCGGGATCCTCAAGCGGTCAGAATTTCCAAATATACATGAAATCACAGCAATGTGGCATCTGCTTATGTAACTTTCATCATCTTCTGACATATCAAATCCAGTGCTGGGTGAACCTTCAGGACCTTTAACAAAACCACATTTTATGTTTTGATCACGTGCCAAAAATGAATTTTCTCTTTCTTCTAAGCTCTGATGTCCAGCAAATTTTGGCGTCCATTGTTCTAATTCCAGTGGCTTCTCTTCTTTCTCTACATATTGTAAGCTAAACCTTGCAAATTTTCGACTTTCTAGTGGTTCTACAAGTAGTGAAGTTGAGTTTAACAACTTCATCTCACAGGAACCTGTAAAATAGGCGACAAGTAAGCAAACAGGTTACACAGCTTTTTTACTTCAGTTTTATTTTAATATATATTTTGGATAATCTGGGAATAAAGGAAATATAACAATGAGCAATTAGATATATCTGCATAAACTTGGAACAGGTTGTAATTCAGCAATATACCATATTACCGAGTAATTTAAAAACTAATTTTATAACTATTCTGCCAGATTTAACACATGATTCCATGAGAAAATATGATGACAGCGTGAAGGGAAAAGTAAAAACTAATCATATATACACCATGTCCTCACAGGCTTTTATGGAACCAGTTTAAACCAGATATTTATTTAAATAAGAAAAAAGTTATAAATTTAAAAATAGTATCAAATATTCAAAATGTTAGAACACTTGATGTTTTCATATGATAAAGAATTATACAAGCCCTTTGAAAAGTATCCAAGCGCTTGAGGAACCCTCCCTTAAAAGCTAGCTAACAAGAAAAGAGGAGAACCAAACCCACTTAAATACTTCACCAAGCAATTCATAATACTCGATGAGGGGCTAGGACACTAATAAAACTCGTAAAACTGAATCAGGTAAGTGTGTGTATATTATTGAACGAAAATGATGAGCCTAGAGGCTTTTAAACTATGGAATCGCAAATGAAAAAGATAAACCAGAGTTCTAGAACTCCTCACCAGAGCACAATGCTACTAACCAGAGAGAAAACTCTCCTAACCAACTCAACAATATTTCAAAACACCCTCTCTACTACGCAACCCTCTCTCTTATAACACAACTCACATGAGGCTGTGCTTACCTCACTAACTGACTTACTCTCTCCCCCTGGCCCACTTTCTTTCCATTCGTGCAATCCTTCCAGAAGCTGGGCTTATGCAGATTTATCCCAATGCTTGGCTCACCAGGGGCCATAGGTCCAAGCGTCCTATCACTGCCTCCTCTTGCAGAAGCAGACTTTGTCCTTAAGCCTGAGGGAAAGAAATTGACTCGAGTATTTCTCCGTTCACCCTAGTAGTATCTACTACAGACGTTTCTTTCCACTTCACCAACCATTGTTTGACACCTTGCTTCTCCCCTAGGGTCTCCCTTAAAACTAGGAAGTCTGGGTTATTATAAGCACTTGAATAGTGCCCAATTACTTCCTGTTCCAGCATACTCTGAATTGTCTCCTGAAAACTTGCAGCAATTTGAAAAGTTGCAGCAATGTGACCCTTAAATTTCTGAAGTTCAGCTCTCTGTTTATTAGTCAACCTCTGTTCTGCAGTTGCTACAACCTCTCTAGCTTCCTTCTCCACAAGCTCTGTATTGGGCATGGTTGTGATTTGGTTTGAATGTCTTCCATCACCTTATGGCTCTCACAATGAGTCAACAACTGTCCATCCATCTCCAGTGCCATTCCCAAAAACATATCCAGATCGCCTTCAAATACATATGATGATATGCATCAACCTCAGTTGTGAAACCCTCTACCTGAACCTCCAGACCTGTGCACTTCCCCATCATCGACAGGCACCCTCTGGCCATCACCCAATCCTACTCTCATTGTCTGGTGCTTCTCTACTCTAACACCCAGCACTGTCTGTCACTCTAGGAAAAATAAAACTGTGGCTTGCACCAGTGTCCACCAAGATCACCATTGGTACCCCATTAAGCTTCCCCTCCATTTCAAGGATGTAGGCTCAGAAAACTTGAATATGTCCATTAAGTTGTATTCCAGCCATCATCCCTCACCTCAATCACTATCACTACATCGTCATTTAAGGCCTCGTCGTAATCCAAAATCACCACACGCTCGGTGCACAAGTGCATCGGAAAATAGTGCTCCCCACATCGGAAACAGAGGCCACAAGCTCTGCAGTCCTTGAGTTTAGAATACGGAAGATGTTTGATTCCTCTATTCTGTGTTGACCCTTCGCGATTCTCCACGGCTCATTTACAGCGTTTTTCTGATTATGTTGGAACTGAACCGACCCCCTTTGGGTTGGTTACTCAAAGGGGTAGGATACAAAATCCCTTTTGTTTGTGCCTCGGTTATTGGTGGTCCCAAAATTTCCCTTACCATGTGACCCAGAGTCCGAATCACCCCCTCTCCATCAACACGCATTATCTCTACCGTTACTCTGAAACGTTGTCATCCCTCAAATGTTTGTCTCAACATCTCTCACGAATCTTCAATTGAATCTCCGGCCGAAGCCTTCCAACAAAGTACCCCAAATACTGCTCCTTAGGGAGACGACCTACCTATGTCGAAATATACCCGTTATGTATTCCTGAACACTCTCAGTTTGAGCCATGTCCTTCAACTCTTCAAATGGATTATCACTCACCCGTCCTCCATACCTTTCAATCATCGCTTGCTTCAGTTTGAGCCAGATCAGATCACCCTCTGTTTCAAGTAAGAGGTTAAACCAATGAATGGTCACACTTTCCGTGCTTAACTTAGCCAGTCGCACATTCACCGTCTCCAACAAGCCTTGCGCCTCTAACTTCTAAGTAAGTATCTGCTCGTGTGATCCATTCCACGGGATCTTAACCATCATACGGTGGTAATTCCACTTTCTTCACCTCCATCCTATATTTTAACATTATCTCTTCCACAAAACAATGAAACAGGGGTCCCTTCTGGTGAGCGACTGTGATTTGATGAACTCCTCATCCAATGATAGATAGAAATTAGCAAACGCCTGGCGTAAGGAATCTTCCATCGCTGCAATATGTCCCACTAAAACATTGACTGTCTGACAATTCAGTGGCACCCTCAACTAACCAAGTGTGTATATTATTGAATGAAAATTATGTGCCTAGAGGCTTTTACAACTATGGAATCGCAAATAGAAAAGATAAACCAGAGTTCTAGAACTCCTCGCCAGAGCACAATGCTCTTAACCTAGGTGAAAACTCTCCTAACCAACTCTAACAACATTTCAGAGTACCCTCTCCACTACCTGATCCCTCTCTCTCATAACCAAATCACATGAGGTTGGCGCACAGCTCACTTACTAATTCTCTCACTCTGGTCCTACCTACTTTCCCTTCGTGCAATCCTTCCAGAAGCTGGGCTTATGTAGATTTGCCCCAATGCTTGGCTCGCCATGGGCCATAGGCCCAAGTATCATATCTGGCACCTCCTAATACCCAAGTCCCTATTTCCATCCCCAAAATATTTGCAGCGGATGCAAAATATTACCTCCGTTTCAAAATTAGTGTCAGTTTAATGAACAAAAGAATTGCTTCAAAATGAATATCATTTTCAGTTTTCAAGGTAATTAATTAATTTTTTTCAATTATACACTCTAATACAATTTACATTATATTCCACTTTGCATTTATGATAGTGGAAAATACACCAAAGTTAACGAGGATAATTTGGTAAAATAATTATTCGCTTCTATTTATTGCATTTCTTAATGTGTCTAAAAACCAAAAAACGGCATTCATCTTGAAACGCGTGGAGTTTACTTAAGTTGGTATAAACTGGTCATATTTAGATGATCATCACCTGACTGAGACCAGAAAAAATTAAGTTTTATAAAGGTAATGCTAACATGTGCCCTTATGGCACATGTTAAGAACTAAATAAAGAAAATTTATCTTGGAAATTGTGTATTGAATTAATTACAAATACATAATTTTTTTTTTTTTTAAGACAAACTTTCTAAATGTAGGTTTCTTAACATGTGCCCTTAGAGCACATGTCCAATAAATGAACTGGTATTCTCTGTAGCGCACCAAATGGCATAATAAAGCAGGTAAGCAAAAACAACGGTGTCATTATTCTATATTTCTAATGATTCATTTTTTCCAGGTAATGTAATTCTAAACCAAACATATGACCATTTTGTGGAAGACCAATACAAAATCATTTAAAGAGATTAAGTAGGAATAGTACAAACTATGTAAGCGTAGAACCAAATGATAAGAACTCAACAACAAAAACCTACCTAAGTTTCTCGGTGCCCTGCACTTTATAAAAAATTGAAAAAACTAGAATGTAAACTAGGAGGGACCATGCAACAAAGAAGCAACAATTCCGACTTCTTGAATGTAATCATTTCCATTTTTCAATCAGAATGGTTAGACAATTACTACGGCATCTTTCAATATACAACCCAAGGTTGTTTCTGTCCCTTGCTATAACTGCAAAATGGCTGAAGGAACCAAATTAATGAGCTATATGTTGATTGAAACGGAGGTTTCAAAGTATTCACTAGATTGGAGATAAACCATTACCGACTGGAAAGTCCAAAGGCTCGGTGAATATATAAATGCAAGTAACACTAAGGTACAGTGTTAGCAATGTTTTCTTTTGAAAACAAAGCCAGGATTGAATGTGAAGGGGAAAAAACCAAATAGGAGGGAGTGCATATGAATAATGCCTATTGGTCATTGTGAAAACATGTCGTAGAAAATCCTGAAGTTTGATTTGTTAAACTAGAAAACATGACCGAAAAAAGGTAAACAAAGAAAATAAAACAATAAGTATCAGGTTACCTATTGATTAACTTAAAAGTAAAAATGTTGAGAGCACTAAAAATGAAAAGCAAACAAGAAGGAGAAACAACAAATGCACCATTTCACGGATACCAAGCGATATTCCTATTTGAGTAATGAAAATAGACAAGATATTCTACCTTACTCCAAAGTCCAACCAGAGAAGACTAAATTTCCCCCAGAATTCTATCTTTTATTCAAAAGTCATTACTAATTCTACTCTTTGTGAATCATGAATAGCACTAATGAGGTAACAAATAAATAATACCAAAAACAAATGCAGATAACTTTCCAAAGGTGGCTAATAGAATACAACAAGAGACGTTTGGTGAGAAAAATAAGCTTCACCTGAGTATTTGCGACGCTTGCCTTTCCTCTTTGTTTCAGGACGTGATTTTCTGTTAGTTTTTTCATGTATAATATCTGCAGGTCTAGAATTTATTTTCCCACCACCAGAGATTTTCTTGTTATTGGAAGATTCCCCATCAATATCCTCCTCAGAAGCATTATCCTCATTATTTCCCACATCCAAAGAATCATGAGATTCTTTCTGAACTTCAGTGTCCAAACTTGGTGTACTAGAATCAAAAAAGTCATCATACTCATCATCAATGTCAACTACCACATTCTTCTTTTCCATGTCAACATCTTGCGACAATTTCCCATCACCTTCATCAGAGTGCCTCCCATTCTTCAAAGAAGCCTCGTACTCCGCTTCATACCTTTTCAGTTCATGACGCCCCGCTTCATTATACAACCCATCACCTTTTCGCTTTACACCTGTATGAGAACCATCTTGAGGAAACTTAATATTGTGATTCGTCTTTCCAGGAGGAGCATCATCTTCAGTAATAACTTCACCGAGATCCCTACTTATCTGCTCCTTCATATCCTCATCATAATCACCATCCCTTCTCCTATCATCCTTATCCCAATATCTCGAATCTCGACCATGTCCCCCAGAACTATGCCCAAAATCAAGAACTTTTTTCTGTATCCTCGGTACATTCGTAAGAAAATCAGAATCTCCCTTTATATCATCCGTATCACCACCATTGTTACCTATTTCTGCAACCACAGATTACCAATTTTAAAACAATCTTAAAACAGCATAAACAAAAATCACTTCAAAACAACGAAGTGTATAATCAATCATGATTAAGCTAACATCCTATTAAGTTCCCAAATAACTAAACCCCAATTCAACCAAATGCAAAACCCCAAACCAAAGAAAATCAGAGATTCAAACACCATTTCTCACTCATCAACTTCACCTAACAACCAAAATCTAGCAAAATCCACAATGCAGATTTCAACAACTCCGAAAAAGGAAAATCCACTATGAAATTTCACAAAACAAAACACTAAATTGGAACTCAGAAACAGAACTCCACCTTCTTTAGAAATGTAAGAAAACGCCAGAAAAGTAACAACAAGTACGATAAAGAGGAAAACCAAAATCGCAACCACCGAGAAATGAGAAACTCTATCTGATCGCGCCGATCTCCGAAGCCGTAACTGCTTATGACTAACACCGCCGCGAATCCCAACGGCAACATGATCACCGGAGCCATTCGCAATATGTAGATCGTGAGACCCTAACCTCACCCCAAGCCTCTCCGTTCCCGATTGCCTCTGCTGAGCCATACCATAACACACACACAAACACAATAACACTGTTTCTCTCTCTACAATTTATCTCTCTAGATTTTCTCTCTCTCTAGAAACTTACTGAAAGATTCAGAGTTAAGAGTCTATGGTTGGTGGTTGAAGAAGAGTGTGAAGCAAGCGAAACAGAACACGGTGGTTGAATTAAAAAATATTTTAATTAATCGAAAAAGTGATAATAAATGGAACAAAAAGTTATAGGGGAAGCAAGAAAAGCATGAGAGTGATGGAGAGGTTGCCGGCGCGGTGGGGCGCCGGGGATATAGGCGGCGGTGAATTATTTTACTCACGGGAGTGAGAGGTTCGGTTCATTAAGAAACTACGAATCGAATCTTATGTGGGATTTTAAAGATTGGTTTATGAATTTTGTAATTTGATTATTTAGATTATCTATTTGTCGGTTAATTAAGATTTTGTTTGAAATTAATTACTTGGCTAATCATATGTTTTGATCTAGTTTTGGAAGATTTAACATGATTAAGTTAAGAGATAAATTTTGAGTTTTTGGATATATGACTAAATCGTACAGCTCCACTGGTGACAAAATTCACAATAAATGAAACGCGCTTGAAGAAAGCACCGTTTTGTATTGATAGGCACGTGTTGCGAGCCTCGAGTGTTGTTAGTCAGTAAATTAATTGATGATTAATTTTTTATGATTAACATGGGAGTTGTCTATATTAAAATACAGTATTGGTTTAATACTTTACTAGCTCAATTTATTTTTCCAAAACAGGACTTAAAAGAAAAAAATATTTAGAGAATGAGACTTTAGAATTATCGTAAGTTAATATTATATTCAACTCATTTTATAAAAAATGAGAAGTTCGATGTTATTCAAAGGAACTATATTGAATTTTTCGCAAGTATGCACTTCAATCTCCTATATTATAATCTCCTATATTATATTTTGGCATGGAAGACAATTATTTTATTATCTCGGATGAACGATAAGTCTTTTGTGAGTAGATAAGTAAGATTCAATTTCGTTAATATTATTCAGCGATTTCTTTTTCTATTCTATGATTTTTTTAGTGTACCATGTGAAATTACCTTAATGTCTCTTAAAATCAGAAATATATTTCCGGTTCGCATCATGTTAACCATAAAAGATATAAAAAAATTGGGTGGAAATAGAAAATATTTTTCCAAATCCAAGTTAGAGACAATATATGAATCGAAAATGCACTTATAATATAAACGTGTCACACCTCTTCCCCTCCCTCATTACATAATTGTTTTCAAAACAACAAAAATAAATATTCATTTCTCTCAAACACCATTGTTACAAATCAAACCGAATTCGCAAAAAATTTTGTTGTATATGTATATTGGTTATTGTTTTTTTATTGTATTTGGATAATATTTTGGGTTATCCCATATATTGATTGCGGACACCTTTTATACTGTTTTTTTTTTATATCTATTTATATATGTCTTTGTTATATATGTCTTTGTAGTATATTTTGTTGTATACGTCTATGTATTCAACGCGAAACAATACGCAAAAAGACTCATTGTCAGCATAAGTCTTTCTGGTGATGTTTGCACAGGAACCGGAAGGTTCACTTCGGAAATATATTTCCAAATTTTAGACAATATTTTACAGAAAATGGTGTGCACCAGAAATATATATCCGGTTTCCAGGAGTATTTTAGGGAATGCGTGTGATTTTTCTTTTCACTATAGGGTGGAAAGAGAAATTATCCATTATTCAATTTATACAAATGTGATAGAAGGATTATATTCGGATGCATTGAAATGACATTTAAACTTGGAGTACCTCTACCTCTATATCTATTAGTATGATGAGACTTTAGAATTCATGTAGACTTTGCTTTCGATAAATAGTTAAACAGAAGTCAACAACTTATTTTGTGATATACCTTTCAACAATTAAAGCTTCCGGTTGATAATGATTCTTCGTATATCCTTTAAAGATCTTCATGCATTCTATTGGATACATCCACCTTAAATAAATTGGACCATAAAATATGATTTATATGACTATATGAATAATTAAGTGAACCATAATGTCAAAAAATGATGGAGGCAAACACATCTTCAATTGACGAAAGATTATTGCAGTCTCATCTTCTAATTCATCTAATTTTTTGAAATCAGGAACTTTATTACATATAGCATTGAAGAATAAGCACAATCTAGTTATACTCACTCTTACATTTTTTGGTAGGATGCCATGAATAGCCACTGGTAGAAGTTATTGCATCAATACATGACAATCATGAGATTTTAAGCCAATTAACTTCAGATCTTTCATTTATACAAGTTTCTTGATGGTTGATGAGTAACCTTGCAGAATTTTGATATCATACAAACACTCGCATAAACTTTTCTTTTCCTTTTTAGATAGAGTGTAACAATTTCAGAGGCAAATTATTTTTTTTCCTCTTTCTTTTGGAGCCAACTGTTGTCGTATACCCATCTCCACCATATATAAACAGGAATTCTTACTATCGTTAATCTTGCCTAAAATGTTTAAAAGTATTCCAATTAAACTATCACACATATTTTTCTCCACATACATCACATTAAGATAATATCTTACGTCGAGACTAGACCAATATGGAAGATGAAAGAACGTAGATCTCTTTTTCCAAATATTTCTATCAACGTGCCATTTTTTATTCTTTCCAAAGATAACAGTAACGTGTTATTGTCGTTGATAAACTTCATTGCCATTAAAGATTTAAGAGGGATTTTAAACTCCCACTCTTTGTTAAAAGCCTTCCGCAATCTACAATAAGGATGATTGGGTTTTAGAAATTTATGATGCCCAAGGTAAACTGTATTTTTTCCAAATTGAAGTTGGTGAACGCAAGTATTAGATTCACATATAAGACATACTTTATGTGCTTGGCACTGTATCCAGCCAAATTACCATATGCATAAAAGTCGTTGATTGTTTAAAATAACATGGCACAGATCTTGAACTTTTCGCATGAATATGGATCATCAACATCGACGCCTTCCTCCCACAAAAGTCTTAAATATTCAATTAATAAACTTAGATAAACATTTGTGTCATTTCCAAGTTATTTTTGTCCATAAATCATCATAGATAATAAGATATACTTGTGCTCGGTGCACAACCAAGGAGATAAGTAGTAAATCGTGAGAAGAATAGGCCACAAAGTATGATTAGTACTCATATTACCAAAGAAGTTCATTTCATCTATGGAAAGCCCTAGGCTAATATCTTGGCTTAAGGTCAAAATCCGCAAACAATTAATCAATTTTCTTCTATTGCAAAGAATCAACTACATGGTGAATATTTCTATCATATTTCTTTCATCTCCGTGTCATCTAATATTATTTATGTCATCCGTATTAGCAAAAAGTATCTTGAATCTTTGAATTATTGGCAAGTACCATAACTCATTAGCAGGAGGACGTTTCTTCCTAACATCACCATAGTCATCATCATTGTTGTCCTTCATCTTGTAGTGTGACTCGCCATATTTCGGACATTTATCCAATTTTTCATACTCTTTCTTGTATAATATTCAATCATTATGACATGCATGTATTTTGATATACTCCAAACTCATTGGACATAATATCTTCGCTGCCTCATAACAATGATCCGACAAATTGTTATCTTTTAGTAGCATTTGTTTCAGCAAATCAAGTAATTCCATGAAAATTTTATCCATCCACCCATTTGTTGCCTTCAGATTAAATAATTTTAACACCACAAATAATTGTGTAAAACTTGTGCATCCCTTATATAAGTGTGCATCCTTATCACTATATAAAGTATCATAAATATGGGCTTTCCTAAAAGAATATTCTCCAATATCATAGATCATATCTTCTAACTGATCATCCATATCTTCATCAACTTCATGTCTCTATGACGTATCATTTTGATTTTTTATCCACTTCACCATGCTACATCCATATTGAAATTTTGACAAATTCCATCATAACATAGATGATGGAATAGTTCTTTCTTTGGAAATTTTTTGATATTCTTGCATACAACGCAAGGACAATAAAATAGTCCATTATTATTGGGAATATTTTGTTCCAGGTATTCCATAAATACTTTCTCATACACTAGACCTAATCTACCAGCTTTCATCCAACTATGATCCATAATAAATTCTGAATTTTATATCAAAATCTTGAAGAATCATTTAACAATACAACAACACAATAAGTTATATAACAATCTTCATCTTCATATCATTATATCACAATAATATATAATATTCCCAATAACATAAAAACAATCTCAATAATATCACTCAATCACAACCACACAAATGGCACACTAATGATACACACAACATACTAACATTGTTATAAAACAATGTTCACACAATATTCTCAAATACTAATATGTTGCATACATGTGTATACAACAACACTTTCACATATGTATAACCTACATTCACACAACATATCATAGGCTTATACACACGTTGCATAGGATTATTGTTCAATCACAGCAATATAACGTTTAACAAAACCAAAACCTAAAACTCAACATGAATGGTGATGAAGGTGAAGAAATATATAACATAATGGTATATCTTTTAATAAAATAAAATAAAATGGTGATGCATAAATAAGAATTATTACTTCGGTTGATTTCTTAATTGAGGTAATAACATATTACGATCAATACATTTTGTAGTAGTGTGTTATTTCTACTAAGGTGATTTCTAAGATCACCAATGGATAACAATGAATTTGTTGTTGCAACTAATTTTGGGATTGATGGTGCTACATGTATTGTTTAAATACCTTAATATATTTCAAAACATTGCAAACATGTCAATGTTTATAGATATTTGATCGAAAAAATAACAAGTGTACTATTTTTACCGATGTAATAATAATGGGATTTTCCCAAAGTATCGATCTCGAGGACTACATAGGAAATCCTGAGTTTTATTATTAATTTAATCAAACAAAAATAATAGTTTTGGATTTGATTGGAATAAATC